CCCCCTTCTCTCTCTCCCCCTCTCTGCCCATCTCTGCTCTCCTTCTCTTTTCTGTCGCAGACTGACTTGATTTTGTTTTTCTTTTCAGCTCCGCATTGCCCTAGTGGAATGCGGCCGCGGCCTCTACCCCGACGACCCGTACACCCAGCACCCGGCTGACCGCTAAACCGCTCAGCACGGTGCGCAGCACGGGCCCCGACGGTCAGCAGCGTTCACCTTTGACGCACAGAACCACAAAAAATATGGTGTGCTTCTTGTAAGACAGTCCCCAAGACTGCCTGTGCACTGTAAAAAGTAAATATATTTTGTAACTAATTGTTACAAAATATGTTGTAAATTTGCCACATCCTAACCCTGCTTGTCGATTAAGTCTAATATACATAGATCATGGTATTTTAAAGTTTCTAATTGTAGTTTTACCACACGCTTCAGGGAATTTTTTGCAAAATCTAACTGTTTCTCACAGTATACCAGTTAGGCAAAGAACTCCGCTTTCCCCTACACTCTACGCACTGGCCCAAGGGAGCTTTGGTGTGGCGGTCGTGGGCGGTTTTGCTGCACATTTAGAGCCCTTGCCATTGCCAAGTTGCATTACTAGCAATTGTGTAAAACTTCATTCCCTACACTATGTAACGCGGAGCCTAATGTGCATTTAACGTGCTTAAGGAGTGCAGTCAGAATCTGAAACAAGGGGCATCGGACTTGAGTGTGCGGCATGTTATACAACGAGACGGGGGGCCTTGCAGGAGCGAGGAAGAGGGGGGTCGGGTCTGAGTTGCGGTGCGCAGGGGTAAGAGGAGGACCTGGGTTGCAGCCGCAGCAAGGCGGCGGGGGTTGGGGTCGTACGACTGCAGGCGCGCGCACACACACACACACACACAAGTCCATCTCGATGGTGGCTGCGTGCACGCCGCCCACAGACAGCCACAACGAGAGAGGGAGGGGGAGGTCCTGGCGCCTCCAATCACCCCCTCCCGACCGACAACAACCCCCTACTCCCTCGCCCTCTTTTCCTTCCTTCGCCACTGCTGCCACTCGGGCAAACAGAGTGCGTAAATATCATCACACGTCCTGATTGGTGGGCCACCACCCCCTGCCACGCCCCGCCACGCCCCTCCGCGCTCCACCACGCGCCGTAGCTTCGCGTTTAGAAGATTATTGGAAGACTTTCGGAGAGGCGAGGGATATTACCGAACAATTGGGTAAACAGAGGACGGCGACGCGGCTCTGGGAGGGGGAGTGTCTCTTAATAAAACACGGCCCGCGCATCTGCTTTTGTTTTTGTTTTCATAATCTTGCTTTACGCCATGTTCAAAACAACAACTGAAAACAAAAACATTTGAAAGAAAAAAAATGTTTCATTCATTACGACTTTTTTGTCTAACCCGGCGACGACAGAGTCAATCAATCAGGATTCTCTGACATGACAATAAAAAAGAGGAGAAATATCGGAAACGGCAACAGCGAGTTATGCAGAAACACGCCCATGGCAAGGGGGCGAGAGGCGGGGGCACAGATAGGGGACATGAGGAGGAAGAGGAGGGGGGATTGGACGAATGAAAGGGATAGAAAAACGGAGAGAATAAGAAAAACGTCGCGCGTGTAAGTCGTCTATGATTGCTCATGAATTATGTAAGACTAATCCCCCGGGGGCATCTCCACCCTCCATACTAAAGTAACTTTTCTTCGGCCAGTCACAGGGGTAGCGAGAGATGCACGATAAATAAATCGATGAATTCCCATATCACTAACTGCACTAAAACAGCATGAAGTAATTTAGAAATCGCCGCCATAGCATTATAGAATCCCTACCTCACTACCGCGACCAGCGAGGTTCGTCATTCTTACCCGAAAAAACAAAGAAGGGAAGGTTAAGTTTCGTAAGTGGATAGCGCGGTGATTAGCTAAAGCTGTGGGTAAAGCCCTCGTGAGTTATTCTCTTTTAGGGACCATGTCTGGGAGCGGCAGGGGCCTGGCTTGCTGGATGGTAGTCCCCTTTTGCTTTCGCACCGACACTGATTTCGGGGGGAGAAAAAACCAGACGCTAATTACAGAGAGAGAGAGAGAGAGAGAGAGAGAGAGAGAGAGGTGGGGACGGGGGTAGTTGGGAGCGAATAAGGGAGAAGTGGGGAAGTATGGGCATGGGGGCAGTGGTGGGTAGCTTCTGGACGCTGGAGGAGTCTCTCTGGAGGAACACGTTCTGCAAACGGAGGCAAAAGGAGTTCCCGAAACGGGCGCGCAGGTAGCGTCGTGCGCAGTGGTCGCTGAGGGTGGGGCAGGCGGCGGCAAGGACGGAACAGGTTTGTAATGAGAGTGAAAAAGATGGGGAGGCGGTGGAGGGAGGCCCGCGACGCCACCGCTGTTGCACCTCTCATCCCTGCGCACAAATAATGTATTTTGCATTCCGACAGGAATAGCAAATAGGCCTAAAAAGTGTTTTTTTTTTCCTTTTACGGCTTCCATCCTGAGAGCCTACCAACCCCCCCC